AAAATAAGCAAAAGTTTACTGTTCTCCCACCCTATCTCACATTTGTCAATCTCCGACGAAACGATTAGAAAACCATCAAAAATATTCCATCAATTAACTTAAACTAACTCTTTGGCAAGTGCCAAAGTGCGAAAGTAATGTTCAGTGTAGGCCCTTCCACAAATATCTGGATATTTCTTGGGATATTAAGAAGTTTTCGAGATATCTAGAGAAAAATTAAGACGTTCAGAAAATTTAGGGGCAATGCCCTGTGTTTTCAGCAGTTTTTGCAGTGCAAGAACTTTTTGGAGAGAAGTTGCCCAACCCTCCCCACCCCCCAACCTTAAAAAAAAATAATGGCCCTTTCCTTAGGATAGCATTCTCTTTACTTGATATTTAAGTAAGTACCTCTGTATGACGCGTCCTTGTGGAGGCCGCACTTGACTTCGTCTGGCGCTGGAGTCATCAACTCCATTCATGTTTAGCTTTTCAATCAACTGCTCTCTGCTGTTAACAAGGTAAATTCCTTTGCCTTGATTCATGCCCGTCGGTTTACAGATCCAAATTTCACCATCTGAATGAAACAACAGAACATAATCAAACAGGTCTACAGGTTTACGTTACATGTGTGGAATGCTATCCGATGATTTAAATGGAAATATTAAACCAGTGAAAGAATGTTGAATGAGCATTAAAGCAGTTTTCAATTGAGTGTCGTAAAACCAAAAACAAACCAATTAGCAGACTACTCAGCCAATCTCAAAGCCTAGTAAAACCAAATCAAAACCAAAGTAATTGCCTGATTCCTTTCGACACTAAATTGAAAAACGCTCTAAATCAAGAACTATTAACAATGTTTACAAGTGTGCATGAGTTATCTAGTCGGTTGAGATTGAACCCAAAATGTTCAAACTACGTTCCACTGCTGAGTGATAAACACTCACCTTTGTAAATATCGTTGACAAACTTGACTTTCTCGGTTGCATTCATCAGCTTGTAAGTTTCCGGAACAAATTCATTTATAGAAATTTTCAATCTAGAACGGCGAAGAAAAATGGCGTTAGGCACAAAACATGCCCAGTCATACAAACTAATTGACGACCTATCTTTTCACAGATTTAGTTGGAAATCAAACTTTTTAACACGTTTGGAACTTTCACTCGGATAGAACCGGGTGACTGGAAGATTGATATCATATTAATGAATGTTTTTCTTCTCACTGCTAACTCACTTGGTTTTAGCCATTTTCTCTTGGACACGTTGATATTCTTGTAAGGTGCACAGGAGACCCAGCTTCGTGGTAAGAAGGTTGATGTTGGAAATGTGGTTCACTAACTGTTCTCCTGAAAGAATTTCAGCAATGAAAAACACAAACGTAGGTAAAAATAAAAGTTAAAAAAAGCAAGGAAAAAAGCAAAGTATAGCTCTCAAGTTCTCATTTGAAGGGGTGCCTGGAAAAAAAGACCAAAGTGGCATCTGATAGACTGCAAGATTCTCCTAGCAACTTGCTTTTTGCTTTCTTATACAATAAAAGGAGAATTTGACATGAGATCAAGAGTCACTTAGGGCTTTTTTTCCACGCACCCCTTTATTCAGTGTCGTCCCACCACAGGTTGGCACAGGTATACTAACCATCTTTGAAGCTGTCATAATTAATCTGGCTCTTGCACTCCACCCATTTCAATTTGAATGACTCATCCGTCTTGTCCTCGATCTTGGACCAGCCAAGTGAAACTAAAGTGGATTCAATCCTAAATTGAAGAGTGCAATCATCAGATGTAAAAAAAAAAAGAAAGTTTGGTCATAAAAATCTGTTCCATACCTAAGAATCAAAGGGACCAGATGGCAGAGTTTGGTATCGATGCTTCTTTACAATGACTTAGAATATAATAAAAATTGCTATCTCTTATGAAGTGGAATGCTATATACGCCTTGCCACTCCCCTCTACAAGTTTACAAGTCTCAGTGTGGCATGGTTTTCCTGTTACCTGCAACATTGAGAAGGAAGCCAGGGAGAATCAAGCTATACCGTCTCAGAGATGAATGTAATAAATTATTGCAACAGAGCTTGGGTTTTGTTCCAGTCAGGTTTTAGCCCTAGCATTTTGACAAGGTGCCATCAACAACAATCTCCCAATACTCAATTACTTTCCTAGATGAAGACTGAGAGACACTGTAGGCCACCTGAAGCTTTAATTGTCTTGGCCTAGAATGCAACAAAATGTGACGGTCACACTTACATCCAGTTTCCATTTCCTCCTCCAATGAAGAAGCTTGGCTGTTTTCCATTCACATGGCTGACTGACCTGGCACCATTGCGTGAGTTCCTTCTGGAAGAGTCTTTGTTATTGTCATTCTTTTCATTACCATTTCCTTTTCCATTACCTGATGAAGAGCCACTCCCAGAGACTGCAGATGTTGTAACAATACCAGTTAATGTAGAGATAATTGATACTTTAAATTAAATTGGTATATATTTAATTATACACACCCTCAAATACAGATTTATCTTCCGTTTTGTGATCATGGAATTTTGTAGATTAAACAATTTAAGGGAATGCAAAGTAACATAACAGAAACTTCAACAGGAGTTCTTACAAATATTTTTTTAAGTAGCAACTCATTATGTTTAGCTTATGAAAGTGGCTGTGAGAATAAACTGTTGGCGACACAGTTCAAAGCCTCCCTTCGGTTAAGAAATTTTGATAGCCACCTACCATTATATAAGAATTTCAGTGCGACTGGATTTGAAAACATCCAGAACAAGGAAAGCTATTCCTAATTATAAACAGGGAAAAATCCTCAAGACGCGGGCTGGGTAATCTCACCTTTTCCATTTTTTGCTGCCTTTGAGGGTGACACAGACCTAGAATGACTTCTACCATTACTGTTTGAGTTGTTGGGACACTGAACAATTGGAACATCATCACTGTTCACACCACAGTGTACAAAATCAAAACACTCCAATGATGAAGAGAATTCTTTACAGTTTTCGACGCTTCCAAATTTTTCCTCATTATCTTCAGCACTGGCATAATTACTCTCTTGATGTACACAGTTTAGCTCTATGTGACAACACTGAGGACAGTGACAACTTCTGTCCAGTCCTGACAAACTTAAAGATTCTACCGTTCTTTGATTAGCAGAGGGATTCTCTGCTATTCCGTGTACAAAGCCTTTGTCTTGGTTGTTTGAAGAAGCAGCTTCTATCCAATTGCATTGAGAACTTCCTAGCTCAAGTTCACTAGGACTACAACTTGCATCATGGAATTCACTTTCAAGGTCCATGCTTATTGTTGATAGCAACCAGTGGACACATTCATCAAGGCCATGAAAGTTTCTTTGCACATATTGGGAGGTTGCTGCAGTTGTAAATTGATGATCAGTACCTGCAGTCTTTTTATCACTAGATAGCTCTTGAAAAACAGAGCAACTTGTGTTTGACGCAGCGGACTGTTGGGCAACATCACAACAGACATCCTTTCCCTCGTTGTTATTGACTGACGAGTCGCTTTTGAGCTTTTTTTCATCATCATTCACTTGGCTGCCAATTTCTTCGTCTTCTTGTTCCGCATCTTGATCTTGGGTCCCATTTGGTTGATTTTCAGCAAAGATAGACTTTTTCCCTGGCTGATACTTTGACCGTTTCCAGGAATGTTCTGTGCAGTGACTCTGACAGATTCCCATGAGCCATGTGTCAATGGATTTGAAGTGATACTGCATACTGTGGTAGCTCTTAGCATTGAACTTGTATGAGTCATGGTACTGAACCCTGAACAAGGTAAAAAAAAAAAAACTTACTGTCATACACTTTTCAATAACATGCGAACTCTGAAGTTCAAAACCCAAGTAACGATTGCGAATTTAGCTGCCATCAATCATCATTATGAAGAAAACCAATGAGCCTTGAAAACAACAAAACAAACAAAATGGTTCCAAATCTACCAATCAAAACCCACAGACGTGATCTTTTGAATCCATACAAGAAATAAGCCATGCCCACCGATGACTGATGATAGCAGACAGTATAAAAAACCATTAATTAGGCATAGTTTAAGTGTTATATTGATCGATTAATGCGCAGTGAAAGCTTAGTTTTACATAGGGATGTTTTCACACAGAGGAAATAAGGCAACTTGGATGTAAAATCATAGTCCACTCACTTTCCTCGTTGCCATCTTGCGCCAATGGTCTTTTCTCCATCTCCTGCCCAGACTTCCACATGGACCATGTTATGACGCTGCTTTTTTGCTGAAAGTTTCAAGTTGAAAAAGATTAGTCATTCATTTGATAACTCTACATATTGTTGAGATGTAAATTTTATTTGACTTTCAGTAGGTTCTTTATGTTTAAATTTATGAGTTTAAATCTGTACTGCTTACACTTTGGATTGTGATATATTCCTGAAACAAACACCAGATCTCCAGGTTGCAGGTCTTCCATCTTCTGCACATCTAAGGGAAGTGTATCAAACTACAAAAAGTAGAGGAATCCAGGGTTACAAAATTAATATTAATATTTCTAATGACATATTGTTCTTATTATCATCAAAAAAAAAAAAATTAGAGGTAAAGGTGAATTCTGCATACAAGCCAAGTGGTCCATCAGGCCAGCTCTTATCAGTCTTTAGTTTCAGTGGCATGAAACAACTAGGAGTATTTGTAAATGTACTTCCCCTAGTATGGGATGTTAGGCCATCACCGGGTTACCTCCCCCCAGTATTAAAATTGCTGGTACCCATTTATACACTTACTGTAGGGAGAGAGAGAGGCACTGTGAGAGTACATGTAAAGCATCTTCCCCAAGAACGCAACACAATGTTCCTGGCCAGGGCTCAAAACCGGAATCATCTGATCCAGAGTGGAGCACACTAACAATGAGGCCACAAACAAAATTAGAAAAGCTTACATATACGCCTTACCATGTAAGCTTGATTCCATGGGCCAATTTCAAAACCAAAATCCTCCTTGAGATCCCTGAGTACTTTCCTGATCAAACCACAACAATCAAGAAAGAAAGGTGCATTGAACTCTGCAGCTGAACACCAAAAAAGAAAAAAACTAAATTATAAAAAAGGTCAACAAAAGTTAATGCAACTTTATGTAATATATATCCACAATAACATGTGTTTAAGGTCACTCCCCAGTATTGCATTGCACATCCTTACTGTGCATAATTTATGGTGTCATTAGCGTGCATTCATACACATGCACCTTGAAAACATGGCAGATTTGCCTTGATATTGAGTTCTGTTAGTTGAAAAATGGTTATAGCTCACTAACGAGCTCGCGCACCCAAAATTTTTTCCAGTCATTTAAATCAACTAATCATTAGCTTTGCGTGAGAAAAGACTGATCTGATTTCTATTGTTGAAAATTGAATAAATAAGGAAAATAGCAGCTGCACTGTAGTC